GATATAAACCAAGTTTAGGTGGAGTTTGTTTTCATTGTGCTGACGTTTTACAGTCAGTTGCAATAACTCGTACTGCGTGCTAGCTAGCATGACGGAGTTTATATACAGCTGGGTGGGTGCTATGATGTTACTGATAGTGAACTTTATTTTATTCATAAGGTTAGTTAGTAGAGTTGTAAACCGTCCCGTACAAACGGAGTTGCCACATTCAGAGAAAATATTACGCGTTTCATATTGAGCTGAGAAGGAGCACAGTTTGTCCCTGACTTCAGCTAGAATAGAAAAAGACAAAGCTGGATTTATTCTGTCGTTACGCTGCACAGCTACCTCTTCTTCTCTCATTCAATCATGAAACTGATCAGTGATCAGCTGATCGTCTCTCTTGTTTATTTATCGCCCACTTTGCGCCAGAAAGAGGAAACCAGCGCATGTCGCTCTAAACAACAGCAGCACGTTTAAGCTTGATCAGCTGTTGTTAGAATTTATTTAATATTAGTTTCTAGTATCAGCTGATGTTTGCTGGAGCCACAGCTGTAAAGCTGCTGGTCATGATGTCGGTTTGGATATGTGGTGAGAGGGAAACATGAAGATGAAACCAGGAGATGTCCTTACTGAGTCATCAGAGCTGAACAGGTGATGGAGAAACAGGTTTACCTTTTAGGTGAAATGAATGAGTTGAAGTTATGAGCTGGGGCCCGTTCTTCGTACCTCGCTAAGTAAGTTAGCTGGATTAGATTGTTGATGATTTCGCGTGATCTTGGATCGTTCGGTTCCCCGAAGCTCATCCGGGACTTGCTGTCATAGCAACAGAGCCGTAAGCGTAAACCTGCTCGGGAGCAGGTTTACTTTATGTAAACAGGATTAGATCGCGGCCACGCAGGTATGTCCGCGTCATTCATACGAAAGCAACAGCGATATTCCACCACTGTTTCACCATAAATAAATAACATCAATGTAACTAAAGATAATGCAGCACCTGATCCTGTTATTGATTTCACACAGATACATACAGGTCATTTCCTAAAAAAGGGAAATGTACTATTAACATTCTATTACATGTATGTGATTATTACAGATGTAATTCATATTTCAGAGTAGTAATTGTAAATTACTTCATGTAATCAGGATGAGAGACCACGGCTATAAAAGCGAAGGTGGATTTGGGAAGTCTGTCGCAGCCATGTCCTGTCCGTATACGCGACCAACCCATTGCGGAAGGTGCAAGATTGATAAGGAGAGTCCTCAGAATTCAGCGTATATTGCGGGACAGACAGGATCCTTTAGCTCAGCGCGACAGTGTGCTCATAGAGAGATATCGATTTTCCCGTGAGGGTATTATTTACGTAACCAACTTGTTGACGAGGGGGTGCAGGACCACCACCTGTCTTTTTTTTGCTCTGCCCTTTTCTTGGTTGCTGTTATGAACAAACAGATTATTTCAGGGTCTCTTTCCAAGAGACTAAAAGCAATATAAGTGATAAATATTACCATTCTGTAGAATATTCTTATATTCCACTTTTACTTGTTCCCATGTTCTAGTGGGTCCTGTTGTGGCTCTAATGTGAAAGAGGATATAATGTAACATAATATAATATAATGTAATATAATATTGGATAATATAGTGTAATATGATACATCTACCCTACCGCCTACTGGTGTTGGCCAGAGGGGCCGATGGCGCGATATGGCAGCCTGGCTTCTGTCAGTCTGCCCCAGGGCAGCTGTGGCTACAACTGTAGCTGCCTCCACCAGTGTGTGAATGTGAGAGTGACTGAATAGTGGCATTGTAAAACGCTTTGGGTGCCTTGAAAAGCGCTATATCAATCCACTCCATTATGATTGTTATTATTAGATTACTTACGAGTTTAATTTGTCAGCAACTTTCTGCCAGCCCTCTCTCCTTGCTTTTGCAGCCTTTGCAGTTGTCACGGCGGGGTGCGCCGATGTGTGTGGAAACAGGACCCAAAAGCAGATGATGACGAGGAATTGTAATGATTAACAGAAAGGTGAACCTTTAATGCGAAGACGGCAGGGAAATGAACCAAGAGACCAAAAACAAACAGGCAAAACACTAAGAAACAAAATACTAAATGGTACTGAGACCAAAACCTAAACTATGACTGTGGTGGAAAAATAATAAACAAAGACCATGACTAAGACTAATAATACATAACAGATGAAAACTAGAACTATGACTGAGGTGAGGTAAACAGGCTAAGACCATGACTAAAACTGTGACCCTGGTGAGATAAACAGACGAACCGACAATGGCATGAAGAAAACAAAAAGCTTAAATACAGACATGAGGTGATCAGGGGAAGTGGGGACACATGGGGGAACAGCTGACAGACATAAACCTAATGACAGGACCAGGAGAGAAAGCTAAATACAATGAACAAAGAACACATGACATTGTCAAAATAAAACAGGAAATACTAACAACTAAACATGACAACACAACAGACCCAACACGTGATGAATAAATACCAAACCCCAAAACATAGAAAACCCAGGAACAATAACCAATAACTTCCTAAACTAAAGGCAAAATAGGAAATAACACAAACTAATAACATATCAAAAAATACAAAGAAAACTCAGAGTGCTGGGTCGGAGACCCAGCCTGTGACAGCAGTGTTCCCTTGCGTTTTAATTAAACTCCGAAACTCCTGAAATCCCTCACTCAGGAGTTCTTGCTCTGCTGCCGAAAAATACCGAGCGCGCTCCTTCGACATTTTCGCCGACCAATCAGAGGGTTGCCAATCAATGTTTCTACTATCGATGCGTAGCCCCTTTTACGACACCCAGTGATCTCACATTACTTCATCCAGCTGTACTAATCGTCAACAGCAGGTGTGTTCGGAGAACCGGATTAGCGAGCTCACGGTTAGCGTGATGATTTGGTCTTGGATGTGTCATTTGATCTTGGATGTAGTAAGCGACGTACGAAGAACGGGCCCCTGTTTCTGAGAGACTAATAACACCAGGATCCTTTTCTAGCTGACAGCTGGTAACTGTGCAGGGGCGGGTCTAGCAAAGTGTTGCCAGGGGGCCAGGTAGGCCAGGTGGGTGGCTGTAGCTCAGGTGGCAGAGCAGGTCAGCCACTAATCAGAAGGTCGGTGGTTCGATCCCAGGCTGCATCCTGGCTGCATGCCAAATATCCTTGGGCAAGATACTAACCCCATGTTTGCCTACTGGTGGTGGTCAGAGGGCCCGGTGGCGCCTGTGTCCGGCAGCCTCGCCTCTGTCAGTGCGCCCCAGGGCAGCTGTGGCTACAATGTAGCTTGCTATCGCCAGTGTGTGAATGTGTGTGTGAATGGGTGAATGACTGAATGTAGTGTGAAGCGCTTTGGGGTCCTATGGACTAGAAAAGCGCTATACAAATGCAGGCCATTTACCATTAACAGGGAGAGGGGGGCACAAGGAAATACTTTTCTTTCTTATTATCATTTAAAATGTCTCACTTTTATTAAATAATTATCTGAATCTTACAACCAAAGTTTTTATCAGATGTAAAATGTATAGAAATCATACATATACCAACAAGACTGTACATCACTGTCACAACAGCGTCTGTTTTCATTCAAAGGCTTTATGGCTTTAATACCTGGGGGGCCGGTCTCTCGTCAAAATGCCCGGGCTGATTTTTTTTGTCCCAGTCCAGCCCTGGACACGACACGCAGTGAGTTAATCTGAGCAGGTGCATTAAAAAATAAATGGCCGGGCCAGCAGTGCACATCGCAAATTAGCTCGCATACACACATTAGTTGTGCTGCTTCTTAATGACGGTATCTTAGCTAACAACCCCAACTACCAGATTCAACTTGTAATTGGCTAAAACTAACTTCGCCAACTGGTGAGAGGGACGTTGTTAGCTGGCAGTTTTTTCAAGCGATGTTGAAATTTCCACATTCCAACACTTCAAATGCTTCAGGAGCTCTCCGCTCAGCGCTGCAACTGTTAATATAGAGCGTTATTAAATTTATTGCTAATGCAATCATATGGCACATTGACTTCTGAGGAAATTTTAGATGGGACTCGTCATCAAAAAGGTTGCCGACCCCTGCTTTAAAATGTCACTGTATGTGTATGTGTGTTTGTGTTTTATGTGTATAGACTTTAAAAAATATATTACTGATGATATAACATTGTCCAGACATGCTCTGTAAGGACATGATGAGGAAGCAGTGACAGAAGAAGCTGTGTGAGGCAGCGGATCCCTCAGCAGCTGGATTACAAAGAGCACAGGTAACAATAACATCTGTACCAGGTGTTGCGTTGCAGAGGTATTCAAGTATAAAAACAATAATAAACACAATGTGTTGGTTCTATAACCTCTTTCAAGAGTTGCTAAGTGTGAATAATTAAATAATAGATTAATACAATAGCAGATTGTGCCTTGTTCTCCGATGGACAGCAGGTGGAGAGTGATAGATGGAGGAAGAGAGGCAAAGAGTGAGTCACAGGCAGAGCTTGGTTTATTTCTCACTGTTTTGTTGTCTTATGGTTCCAAGCGCTGTCACCAATCTTTGCATTTTATTATTATCTCATAACACTTAATCACACTTTAATCAGCTACCATCTCTCCTGTGGACTCTTTAATGTCTACAGGCTCAGATCAACACAGCCCTGCCCTCCTGCACTATCAGCAGCAGGACCAGCAACTCTTCAACAGCAACATTGTACCCATCAGGTAAAACATGGGCTACATTTGCTTTGCATTGTCCCCACCTGGTGACAGTGATATAGTATGATGTGATTCCATATTTGATTCTTGGGTTGTTGTTATTTAGCCTGGTTCTATGTGCCCCTTTAACTTTCAAACATCTCTGCACAGCCCTGCTCTCGATCCTTTAGTAAAACCAAAACCTTTAGAAGTCTTTATTCAGGATTTTACTCCAGTAACTGGTACATCCTGCTCCAGTCTGAAGTCGCACAAAAAAAGACTCACAGAGATTATGAATGCACAAATCACACAAATGTGTTTTACTTTTCCAAGGTATATTGTTTTAATATAATTAAGGTGTAAAACTTGCCAAACATACTATATTTAATGAATTAAGTCACAATTATATTGCTATGCTTTATCTTAAAAAACAAACATCATTCTTGTAAAACTTGATATGCTATGCCTTTTCACTTTCTTTTGGTTGTCTTGTTAGCAGATCCATTATACTGACACAAACAGTAAAAGCGAAAATGACAGAAATACTAAGTAAACACTAAAACTGCACATCTCATACAATAAGGCTTTGAAAGAATGGAATATTGACAAAACATAGGTGTGCATCACACAATGTTCCTGACACCTGTAAAAAAAGGAAGGCATAAAAGTTATTAGAAACGAACAGCTGGATTTGAAGATAACCCAAGGAAACGTCAGCTCACACAGGTTGTCTCACAAACTTTCAAGACAACCTGTGGCTACATCCAGGGTGACGATGCTTTAGTGGGCCACTAGTTTGCAGAAAGCACATTAACTAGGCAAAACAAAAAAAAGTGTTTTCACAAGTTTGTAAGCTCTGCAACTGAATCTTACCTCTTATTCTGATGGGTCTGTGTTCACAGAATGATGCAAAGTCTCCTTCAGCTGAAACACAGGATACACAATCCACAGTAAAAAGCAAGATCACATTCACGTAAATATTGTAAATCATTCTGTCAGTTATCTAGGTTTCAAGAAAATGTCACTAGTTCTAATGTCAAACTCCCGTGTACCATCTTAAATTAAAAAATGCCTCATAAGCTGAGGAGTTCATGTAAAATGTGGATTTTCTGAAAAGTTACATTAATTTAATACTCATATTTAAATTTTTCATAGTATAATTAGTCACGTGGACAGTTTAGAAACGTCTTCTATTTCACAATCAGGTTCAATTTAAGAGCTCGTAGTGCAGGCAGCCGAAGATATAGAACCCATGACTTTTGTCACAGTTCGGCTGTGTGGCAGGCAGGATTTATCGACACATGAGAAGATAAAAATGGGATTTTTTTTCTTACTCTCTGCAAGAAGCCTACTATGTCTAGCTTGTCTGCTTTGGTGGGAGAGCCGCCCTGACCATCACAGATGCTCTCAGACCCAGGAAGTGACTGTCTGTTGGAATCCAGTCCAGGTTTCAGAGTCTTCCAGCCTTTCCAATCAGAAATGTGGCTACTCTGTATGTCAGCTGCCGTGAGCAAGGGTAGCAAAGAGCACTGAGTGGCTACTGTCCTGTTGGGCATTGGTTTAGATGATGGTGTGGGACTGTTCCAGGTAGAAAGACTTTAAGTTGAGAGCAGAGGAGAGACTGTTCATCCAGCAATCTGTGCATCTTCTACTCCAAAACACAGAATCAGAAAACATAAAGTTAAAAAAAACAAAAATATATCGGCCTGCCGATCTGTCTCAGGAGATGAATTTTGTTACCATTTTCAAGCTTTCATCATACTCATAGGCCAGTTCTTTTAACTGCCTCTCCAGCTCACCAGCCTCTCGTTTTACTGCACGCCTCAGCTCTTCGATGTCCCGAATCTTCTCTCTAAACACGCACAACACACACACATTTATTGTTGGGTGCATGAAACTGTATGGTAATTATCACCATGCCAATGCTCGAAGCTGGTTATCATGTGGACCAAAAACAATTAAGTGTTTTCCAAGTGTACACTCATAGTTACACTGCAATGGATGCATCTGGGGCAATTCAGGGTTCAGTATATTGGCCAAGGATCCAGAAAATGCTCCAATAAATAAATATTGGTGATCATTTAAAACTGCTAAATTACTACCTATGCTAATGAACTCCCAGGGTCTATAACTTGAAAAAATAGTATGAAGATAAAATATATGACATATTCCATAAGCAAAAAGAACAATCTGATTCTGAGGTGGGCAGACAGTCAGAACGTTATTAGCACCTCACTCACTGATTCTATGATAAAGCTGCACGTCTACTGCATTCTCGTAAAACAGAGAAATTCCAAGAGAGTGACACAACAGCAGAACCATAACTACCATGTGTGGGAAAAGCTTTTAGGACCTCACTTTTTTGCAAGATCTGGGACCCAGACTAATGTTTTTGTCAGATTTGACTTGTGATTCTATACGTGCAGTTTTTATATTAAATTAAGGTTAAAAATGAATACTTTAAAGAACAAAATATATTTAATTCCTAGACGCGGTTCAAGTGGACTGCTAACTGATAAAACCTGTTTCTGAAAGGACTTTGGTTGTGCCTGTAGCCAGAACACACTAGAAATGTATAAACTATTGTTTGTACCTGTCCTGGTCAGAGAGACAACTGAACACAGCAGCCTGGTCTTCAGAGAGTTGCTCCTCCATGTTACTTAGCACAGACCAAAACTGCTGCAGACACAGCAACATCTCCTCCAGCTCATCCAGAGAGTACTATAGAGAACAAAGACACAGTTATCATTAAAAAAGAAAACACCTATCTGTCGAAGACATTTCTCCGATAAGCTTCTTCAGTTCTAACAACAGACGGTGGAAAGTCCCAGGTGTTTAGGCCCTAGTGAGACTTGTCACTAAAGAGGGTTTTCGACCTACTATTGATCATAGTCTCATCACATGAGCCATGGAAACTGTATTCCCTGGATACTACGGAAAAAAATGGTTCACCAGTGGTTTGAAGAGCACAAAAACAGGTTTTAGGTGTTGACTTGGCCTCCAAATGATCCAGTCTCAGTCCAATCAAGCAAATGTGGGCCTCCATGGATAAGACTTCTTTGGCAGTAGTTGGGACCAAGAAGTCTGATCCAGCAAAGAGGCCCCACCTTGTAAGCTGCAGAATTTGAAGAATTTCTTGCTAACATCTCGCTGCCAGATACCACAACACTCCTTCACACAGCTTAAGGTTGGTTTGTTTTATAATACACATTATACTTTTGATGGATATGTTATCAAATATGTTACTAAATATTAATTATAGTCTGTTAGTAATAATCCAGTTGCACAAGTGACACAACAGAGAGCATTATTTCTTAACAAGATAGAAGTATATATTGATGTTTTCATGGCTCAAGTGTCTCTTTAATTCAATTCAATTCAATTTTATTTATATAGCGCCAAATCACAACATAAGTCGCCTCAAGGCGCTTCATACAGAGAAAAAACCCAACAATCATATGACCCCCTATGAGCAAGCACTTTGGCAACAGTGGGAAGGAAAAACTCCCTTTTAACAGGAAGAAACCTCCGGCAGAACCAGGCTCAGGGAGGGGCGGGGCCATCTGCTGTGACCGGTTGGGGTGAGAGAAGGAAGACAGGATAAAGACATGCTGTGGAAGAGAGACAGAGGTTAATAACAGATATGATTCAATGCAGAGAGGTCTGTTAACACATAGTGAGTCAGAAAGGTGACTGGAAAGGAAAAACTCAATGCATCATGGGAATCCCCCGGCAGCCTATGTCTATTGCAGCATAACTAAGGGAGGATTCAGGGTCACCTGGTCCAGCCCTAACTATATGCTTTAGCAAAAAGGAAAGTTTGAAGCCTAATCTTAAAAGTAGAGATAGTGTCTGTCTCCCGAATCCAAACTGGAAGCTGGTTCCACAGAAGAGGGGCCTGAAAACTGAAGGCTCTGCCTCCCATTCTACTTTTAAATACTCTAGGAACAACAAGTAGGCCTGCAGAGCGAGAGCGAAGTGCTCTAATAGGGTGATATGGTACTACAAGGTCATTAAGATAAGATGGGGCCTGATTATTTAAGACCTTGTATGTGAGGAGCAGGATTTTGAATTCTGGATTTAACAGGAAGCCAAAACAGGAGAAATCTGCTCTCTCTTTCTAGTCCCTGTCAGTACTCTTGCTGCAGCATTTTGGATTAGCTGAAGGCTTTTCAGTGAGTTTTTAGGACTTCCTGATAATAATGAATTACAGTCGTCCAGCCTGGAAGTAATAAATGCATGAACTAGTTTTTCAGCGTCACTCGGAGACAGGATATTTCTAATTTTAGAGATGTTGCACAAATGGAAGAAAGCAGTCTTACATATTTGTTTAATATGTGCATTGAAGGACATGTCCTGGTCAAAAATGACTCCAAGGTTCCTCACAGCGTTACTGGAGGCCAAGGTAATGCCATCCAGAGTAAGAATCTGGTTACATACCATATTTCTAAGCTTTTCAGGGCCGACTACAATAACCTCAGTTTTATCTGAATTACGAAGCAGAAAGTTAGCGGCCATCCAGGTCTTTATGTCTTTACTGTATTGGCCAGAGGGGCCGATGGCGCGATATGGCAGCCTCGCTTCTGTCAGTCTGCCCCAGGGCAGCTGTGGCTACAACTGTAGCTGTCTCCACCAGTGTATGAATGTGAGAGTGACTGAATAGTGGTATTGTAAAGCGCTTTGGGTGCCTTGAAAAGCGCTATATAAATCCAATCCATTATTATTGTTATTATTTAAGACATTCCTGCAGTTTAACTAATTGGTGTGTGTTATCTGGCTTCATGGACAGATAGAGCTGGGTGTCATCTGCATAGCAGTGTAAATGTATGCTATGTCTTCTAATGATGCTGCCTAAGGGAAGCATGTATAATGTAAACAGAATTGGTCCTAGCACTGAACCCTGTGGAACTCCATAATTAACCTCAGTGTGTGAAGAGGACTCTCCATTTACATGCACAAATTGGAGTCTATTAGATAGATATGATACAAACCACTGCAGTGCAGTACCTGTAATACCTACAGCATGTTCTAATCGCTCTAATAGGATATTATGGTCAACAGTATCGAACGCTCCACTAAGGTCTAGCAGGACAAGCACAGAGATGAGTCCACTGTCAGAGGCCATAAGAAGATCATTTGTAACCTTCACTAAAGCTGTTTCTGTGCTGTGATGAGCTCTGAAACCTGACTGAAACTCTTCAAATAAACCATTCCTCTGCAGATGATCTGTTAGCTGTTTGACAACTACTCTTTCAAGGATGTTCGATATGAAAGGAAGGTTGGAGATTGGCCTATAATTAGCTAAGACTGCTGGGTCTAGAGATGGCTTTTTGAGTAAAGGTTTAACTACAGCCAGCTTGAAGGCCTGTGGTACATAGCTGATCATTAGAGATAGGTTGATCATATTTAAGATCGAAGAATTAATTAATGGCAGGACTTCTTTGAGCAGTTTTGTAGGAATGGGGTCTAAAAGACACGTTGATGGTTTGGAGGAAGTAATTATTGAAGTTAGTTATACTTTAGTGTTGTATTTTTCATACTTTGGATTTCTCTGTCTTTGGCTACACTACGGTTGGTAGAAAAAGCTTTTCTTGTGTAATAGCTAGCTAATTACTCACTGATGTATACACAGTAGACCTTTCCAGGACTGGACTTCTAATCTGGCATACCGAGCAGTTGCCCAGTGGGCCGATGCAAACTTGTGGGCAGAGATTACAGATTAGATTCATGCAGATTAATAGCATGCTCTGTGGTCAAATGGTTCTGCATGTGGGGTCATTACTAAAAAACATATTACAAAGAACACTTTTGTTAAAAGTAAAGCAATATGTTACTCAATTACTCCAAGGAGAAAGTAATTTAATATACTACTCATTACATAACTTTTAATGTTACCCCTTAAATAGCTGAAACAAACTGTCTCAGGACCTCAAATTGGCTTAGTAAGCTCAGTGACCCCTGACCTACATACATAGGTGAATCCAATAATGACAAAGAGTATTTAAGGGGGTCAATTGTAATTTTCCCTCGTCTTTTAATTTTCTCTGAAGAGTAGCAACACAGGGGTCTCAAAACAACTCTGAAACGACCTGAAGACAAAGATTGTTCATCATCATGGTTTAGGGCCAGTGTTGGTCAAGTTACTTGAAAAAAGTAATCAGTAACTAATTACTGATTACTTCCCCCAAAAAGTAATCCCGTTACTTTACTGATTACTTATTTTCAAAAGTAATTAATTACTTAGTTACTTAGTTACTTTTTAAAAACACGATTTACAACCTGAAGAGGTGATAAAGCGATAGATCTTTCAGCCCAATTCTACTTTTTCTACATAATCCATCATACAAAATGTAGTTAAAAGGAAAAGTCTCTTTTTTTAACTTGTTTTATCAGTTTTAATCTTTTAACTTTATGCATCAAGCAAAAATTTAATTATATGCAACATTCTCTGACTTGAATAAATTAGTTTAACATTTAAACCTATTTTCTGCACATTCCAGCACATAAAATAAAATATTTTTTGTGTTTACACTCACTCTTTCAAATAG